GCTCTACATCATGAAGTGAGAACCTTTGCACGAACTTTCGCAACTTTGTGCTCGCCACTTGTACTTGTCGTCTTGTTGGTATGGCAAGTAACCTGGAAATATGTGGCAACTGGATATGTTGTCTTCCTCAGTGTAAGACCATTGCTGGCAGTTTGGGAAATATCATCATACAGATAGGAAATACATCGTTCTACAACACCTGCTCCCTTTGATGACATTCCACAAATAAATTTTGATGTTGTTTGTTTGTAGTGAGAATTCAAGTCCGCAGGAAAACAGCGAGATCCCATGTAGGGAGCAACACACTTTCCCCTGTTTCTTTGTTTGTTTACCTTTTTTGAATTCACAAATCCAAAACGGGTACATGGAATAAACGACTAAAATGTTCCACATACACAACAGCAACATGTAACAACAGGAAACACAGCAAAAGAGAAAAGCCATAAAACAACAAGGTAACATTGTAGCAAAACTTGGCAAACCAAGAATGCGACTAAAAACTATACGCGAGGCAGGAGACAGGGAGAATTAAATCAATCATTCCAAAAACCAATATAGTACCCTGTACATATGCTGTTTTGCAATAATATATATATTTATCACTCTTCTATATCGACCTCCACTAATTCTCGTGAGGCAGGAGACAGGGAGAATTAAATCAATCATTCCAAAAACCAATATAGTACCCTGTACATATGCTGTTTTGCAATAATATATATGTAGGACTCAGTATAGAGTCCATGCACTATATGATGTCCAGCACCCTATATAGAGTCCATTGGTCCAAAATCCACTATACAGAGTCCAGGAGTCCACTCAGTTTTGATCAGCTTCATCCTGCCGCGCAATCCCCTATAAGGAGTACACTTTTTCTACAAGTCCCCTATTCACGGTCCAGGAGTCCAGTTTATCCAGTCACGCCGTCCTGTGAGTTGTGCCCAAAAGAGAACAAACACCTTTTCAGTTTTGCTTGCCTCGTGGCAGCGCATTCCTTTCTTCACTTCAGCCATGGCTGCCAGTTCTGCTGTGCAATTGCTGACAGTAATCTGTCTCGAGGTAACCAAGGAGGATAAGGAGACGTTCAAAATCAAATCTGGAAAGCGTCTTGTGGTTCTCGGAAGACGTTTCATCAGTGCGTGGGATGAAAGCAGAAATTGCAGAACGAGAAAAGTTCAGCACAGTTCAAATCTGACGAGTCAGGTACACCGACACTCTCTTTCGTTCGACGCCACAAGGATCCCCTGTTTGGCTGGCCATTGCTGCCAGTAAGACGTTTGAACAGTTTCATCAGAGCGAGGGATGAAAGCAGAAAGCGGAGAACGAGAAAAGTTCAGCACAGTTCCAATCTGACGAGTCAGATACACTGACACTCTCTTTCGTTCGACGCCACAAGGATATCCTGTTTGTCTGGACAAGAGCTGCCTGTACCACCGTGTCAAAAGGCTGTCCAACTACATGGCAGGACGATGACTGAGGTAAGGAAGCTTTTACTCGTTTCGATTGGTCTGCTGTTCTGTCGTAATATGCTTGAATTTTTTTTCCATTTTTCAAGGAGCATATCGCGTTTGTTTGATGTTGCTTGAATGAATGCCCTAAAAGTAATCAACCATTTCGTAATAGTCCTCAAGGACTGCAAGGACTTTGCATCAATCGTATACGATCGTCTAGCTATCATCAATTATTATTTTGTTTCATGAGAAATGTATTTTTATCCCTATGATAATTATGTGAACTCCACGACACTCTTCCTCTACTAGGCTCTAGTATGATGTCAAATACAATGGGATCCACAAACGCAGTGCCAGTGTACTAGTAGTAGTAGTAGTAGTAGTAGGAGGATTTCTTGTATGCCGATGACAAGAAAAAGCTTCAAGCTAATACATCATGTACTCGTATTCCATGAAGTAACCGTTTTGATGTGACAAACATGACACTGTGTCAGTGAAACTGCCTTGTGACAACAAATCATTGCATTTCCATCTCGGGGAAGACTGACGGACGGCAACGCTGTACAGATTGTTCAAATCATCTCATTTCAATTTAGTTGCAGTGAAGTGAAACACTGTGTACACTACATGTATGGTGGTGTGTCTGTGCGTCTTGAGTGTGCACAAACGATCTTATTCCTCGTATTACTAATAGATTATTGTCCCCGCCGTCACCTGTTCACAGGTCTTTGAGTGGATGGATTTTCATTGAGCATCACATTCGTTGAGAACTTGGTAGTTGTGTGCTCCCATGCATCATTAGGGTAATAAGCGTATCCTTGTGCTATCTATTTGTTGCAGGTGTGCTGATCTTCAGAAGCTTGCGGAACTGAGTGCTGCTGAACATTTGCATGGCCATGAGCAATGGTGAAGCTTGCTATTGCAGTCTCAGCATGTGCTAGTATTATGCTGACTACTGCACTATGATACTCTCTTACACTACTACATGTACATGTATGTAAACGTGCGTGCATCCGCCCACGGCCACGTATGCATTCGTTTCGTATAATTATTTGTTATCCCTCTTGACTTTACGTGTAAATGGGTGGATGTTTGCATGGCTGTTGGAGTTGCGTGTGTATTGTGTCTCTACTCTTTTCTTGGTGTTTTCTTGGCGTTGTATAAGTTTGTGTGTGTGTGTGTGTGTGTGTGTGTGTGTGTGTGTGTGTGTGTGTGCGCCCGCACAATAATTTGAAAACAAATAATTAATCCTTGGCTCTCCATTATTATCTTTCGATTCTTGGTTTTTTTCTAGGTATTTTCTTGGCGTTGTGTGGGTGTGTGCATGTGTGTGTGTGTGCGTGCACAATAATTTGGCAACACTACATGATTGAGATATTGTAATTTGCAGCGTCTGCGAAGAGACCACTTGATTTGAGAATGGTGTTTGTAGGGTTTTTCATGTAATGAAGTGGCTGCAGTGGCGCCTCAATACTAATTTTTTTATCTTGAGAAGTGAATGATACCATCAAGGAAACTGCTTGAAGCTATCGAGATAAGGAAGCGCAAACCAGCAGTCAATTGCGATGACGGCTGGCGCCTAATTGACTGATTGGATGTCACCGGATCGTCACTGGAATCGACACCCATCTCCTCGAACTACCACTGGACTTTACCACCTGACACAGCACATACACATACTTTGCACATACACCGCTGTCATATACATAGATCGCCTTTAGCATTCCCACACTTGAAAGTGTTCTTGTACGTGCTGTGATAGTCTTACTAGTCTTCTTTCTTCTGTTTAGGTCACCTTACAGGTGATGATTGTAAACTTTAGTGTTAGTGTTAGTGTTAGTTTTCTTGCCAAATTGTGTCTGTGTGTATGTGTGAGTTTTCTCATCTTTCGTTTTGTTTAGGTCACCTTACAAGTGATGATTGTTTAGTTTGCTGGCCTTGCCAATTGTGTCACCATGATGTGTTAGTTCTAGAACATTCATCTGCCTGCATTATTCGTCTTTATATTTCGTAATTTGGCCTCCCCTTCCTCAATGCCCTGATGATGCCCAATGGGCGAAATATTGGCAAAGTTATTTATTTGGTGCAGCTGAGAGCCTGTTGCCGGAATGGCGGTGTTTTCAAGTGCAAGTGAATGATGTAAAGGATTAAAGGGAGAGGCCGTTTTCTGGTTAATATTCACTGCTTACAGCAGATCATATGTCTAATTTCGAACTCTGGATAGGGGATGCCTAATTGGCTGGACTTTATACAGGAAGTGTTGTCCACATAAAGACTTGTTATAGTTGATTTCAAAGTTTGGACTCCGTACAGTTGATTTTGGACCAATGGACACTATATAGGGGTGAAGCCAATTGGCTGGACTCTATACAGGGAGTGATGTTCATCTAAACTTTATGCTCACAGTTGATTCCAAGTTTGGACTCTGTACAGTGGATTTTGGACCAATGGACTCTATATAGGGGTTGGACATCATATAGGGGCTGGACGCTCTACTGAGTCCAACATATATATTTATCACTCTTCTATATCGACCTCCACTAATTCTCGTGATCCTTGACTGGTCCTATATCACCCATATCGCCGCAATATCGACCGCTTATATCGACCGCTTGTATCGACCACTTAGGCATTGTAATCTTTCGACTTTGGAGGGACTTAGAAATTTTCTCTCCACTTCAAAAAGAAAAATTGAAAGAAAGAAGACAAAGGAAGAGAACAAGCAGGATTCGAACTCACAACAGTATGAATCTCAAGCAACCCCTTATACCACCCAGCCACTGTGCTGCAGATGCTGAACTCTGTTGTTCTTACAGTGTTGTACCCAAAATAGGCAACATCCTATGTACACTATAGTACAAATGCTATTCTAAAAAGGTTAAAATGGCTCATAAAGGTTCAAATTTTGGAGTTATGGCAAAGGAATCGTGATAAATAGGATATTGACCTCGACTTTGGTCTATATGGGAAATATAGGCCTCGTAAAAGACCTCGGCGGACCTCGGTCTTTTACTCGGCCTATATTTCCCATATAGACCTCGTCTTGGTCAATATCCTATACATATCAAAGACGTGACTGTGTTGATAGCGGAGGGTGTTAGGATGACTGCAGCAGCAAATGCAGTTTAGGCCAGGATACTACATGCACACACACACACACACACACACTTGTCAGATCATTCTATTACTCAAATTCCACACAGTGCACGCCAACACAGAAAGCATGTTTCCAAAACGTACACCCCTATAACCGCATTTCCTGGCGCTGTTATCTTCTGATTTGGTGCTCCTGCCGACATTGTCGTGTTTGAACTGGAAATGCTCGTCCAATAGAGCAGTGTCTGTTTAGTTGCATCCACTGACAGGTTTGGTTTGCTTCTTGACATTCGCCTTGTAGCGAAGCACATGCAGGTTGCGATTGCCGGACTGTGAGAATGCCTGTTCACAGCCCGGGATTGCACACTGATATGGTCTCTCACCTGTGTGTGTTCTCTTGTGGACGGGTATTGCTGATGGGTCAGAAAAAGGTTTTTCGCATCTGTCGCAATGATATTATGGCTTCTCCCCAGCGTGTTTTCGGATGTGTACAGTTAGACTACTCTTCCGCGAGAAGGCGTTTCCACAATCCGTGCAACGATATGGCTTTTCACCGGTGTGCACTGTCATGTGTCTTTTGAGCTCCGACGGATATGAGAAACTCGTTTTGCATTCCGGGCAGACTAGTTTGGCATTGGCTGATTTTGCATGTTCTTTAGTCGACAGCTGCTGTCCAAGTAAGTTACTCTGTGGTAGTGGCTCGTTGAGGTCGTGTTGATTTGGTAGCATTTCCGGTAAGCTCGGGAGTTGCGGCGTATGGAGATGTTGTTCTCGTTGCGGGTCTCTTGCTAGTAATGGTGATAGCAACACATCACTTCCACTCGAAGAGGCAAACACATCATGAGGTAATCCTGTATTTGCAATGCATCCGGTGCCGGTAGAGACTTGTGACGAGGACGCCGAAATTGTTGCATCACCCCAGCTGTTGGGTAGGTTAGGCTCAAAGAGTGGTCGGAAGGGGAATGGTGTCGCTGAGTTATCAGGGTGTTTCATTGCCGGTAGCTGACCAAGTAAGGTGCTTTGTGGTAGTGGCTCCCTGAGCTCATGACGACTTTGTGGCATTCCAGGTAAACTTGGAATATGATGTGGCTGGAGACGTTGTCGTCCTTGCCTTGGCACTGCCATCGCATTCGTGTCATCCAAATGCGCAAACACATCATGTGGGAATCCTATATTTGCAAATGAACCCACGTCGGTAATGACTTGCTGCGGGGACGGAAAGCGTGCTGCATCCCCCACGCTGTTGGATTTGTGTTGGTCATTCGGCATTAGCCTAGGGGGAAGGTTGGGTGGCGCCGAACTTAGGTCGAAGGAGAATGTCAAGGCTGGATTTTCTGGTTCTTTCATTGATAGCTGTTGTCCAAGGACGCTACTCTGTGGTCGTGGCTTACTGAGGTCGTGTTGGCTTGGTGGTATGGCAAGTAAGCTTGAAATATGTGGTGGTGCTGATATCACCTTACTATCACACAAAGTCGCCAACACATCATGATGTACGAGTCCTGTATTTACATTGGAGCTCTCGCCCGTGGACACGTGTGGCAAGGACGGAAAAAGTACTCCATCACACAAGTTGTCATAGTGCTGGTGATCCTTAAGCTGAAGATTTGGTGCCGCCGAACTTTGAAGGGAGGAGAATGGTGTCGGTGCGCTGCGTGTTTGGTCTTGTGGAACCAAAGCGTTGTGAGCGTAGGGGTTTGATGCAACACCACTCTGACTGAGTTGATCAAAGGTAAAATGGCTCATCTCTCTTGACTTGCTGTTGTCCATGGCAAAGCCTAAAATACACAAGTTGAAACAGAAACAAAATGTAGAGGTTCTGAACAATGGTTGCAGTGAATAGGCATGAATCTGGGTGGTGGTACGAGTTAATAGGAAGTTGATGGTAATGAGATACGATGTTGAGATGCAGGTGGGAATATATCTCAGTTAGTGGTGCTGGAGTTGTGCAGGACTGCCTGATATATACAGGTGAGGAACGGTAATCGTTAGGGGTGTAGGTGTGTAGTTTAAACATAGGTGTTGGTGTGCGTGGAATATGGACGTTGCAAATATGGCAAGTCATGCTCGATGGGATATGTGTGTCAGGGTAATGGTGTGCTGTATTAGTCTGCCACCAGCTGAAGGTGGGTGAGAAGTTGTAATTTGAGATACGAAGACGTTAAAAATGCCAGTTCACAGCCCGGGATTGTGCACTTGTATGGCTTGTCACCTGCGTGTTAACTTGGTGGCATTTCAGGTGAGCTCAAGATGCGCTGCTGTTGGGCATGTTGTTGTTCTCGTTGTAGAGCCCTTGCTAGGACGGGTGATATGAACACATTACTACCACCCGAACGTGCAAATACATCGTGATCTTGTCCTGTATTTACAACGGAGCCCATGCCGGTGGTGACTTTTGACAAGGACGGAACGTTCGCTGCCTCACTCAAGCTGTTGGCATCCAGCTGATGATCCGGAATTTGGTTAAGCTGGACATTTTGAGTCGCCGATCTTTGGAGTGTCTCTGAGCTGTGTGATTGGTCATGTTGAACCGAAGCGTTGTGAGTGTAACTGCTTGCTGCGACATCACTCTGACTGGGTTGATCAAAGGAAGGATGGCTATTCCTGTCTGCAATGCTATTGTCCATGGCAAAGACTACGCACCGAAGTCGGAATATAACCAAAATCAAGAGGTTCTGAACACTAGTTGCAGTGAATATGCAGAATTCTTTGTAGTGGCCTGAGTTAATAGGCAGTTGATGGTGCTAAGAAAGGGTGATACTGTGAAAGTGGAAATATCAAACAGTTAGTGGTGCTGGAGTTGTGCAGGGTAAGTGTTGCGGGTCGATGCAGGTGAGAAAAGAGAAATGATCAGAGTGTACTGCATTGTGTTGTATTGAATTTATTTTACTTCGGTGGCTCAACAGTACAATGTACAACTACAAAGAGGCCAGGAAAACCGGTCAAAAGGAGATAAGTGCGGACTGGAAATCAGGGTTGGTGTGCGTGGAAGGAAAAAAGGTGACAAATGTAGCAAGTCATGGTAGATAGGGTAAGGATGTCAGGAGAAGTTGTGACTTCGGCTAAAACTGAGAAGCTGTCCAGTATAATAGAAATTAGCGGGTGCATGGAGAGGTATGCATGCACTGTGGCAGTGTTAGAAAGGACCGAGATTCAGAGCCAAGGATAAATTCATAGAAAAGAAAAAGGGACCAAGGAACTACGAGCTACGCCATTATGTCCACTAACACCACCTTCCCCTCCTATGTTATCATAATACCTTAGAACCTTCCAAGTTGGCAGGCTGTTGGAGTGCGCATCCAAGTTGCGCTAGAGCTGACAGCCAGTTAGTTGTGAAACGTCAGTACCGTCCGTCAGTGTCGTGCAATGTTATCGCATGAGCTGCGAGCCCGCGTTAATCTCTTTACATAAAGTTAGGTGGCATGTGGCTTTGCAAACTGCGAATTTGTAGTTAATTGTCTATTTGGCTATTGGAGATTCACGCATCGTGAACGGGTCTGGTTTTCTCTTTTCTTTCTGAGTACTTTGGTAGATATGACCAGGGAGTAGTACACTACACGAAACTACAGCTACAAGACACCATCTTCGTATGATTACTGAAGTGCGAAGTTGCTTGTTGGGCGTTTGCTGTTTACCTTTTTAAAACAATAAGGATTCAGTTTCCTCTGGTATTTCCACAGCAGTTACAGTGTTATCCGCGTAGCGAAAGAAAACGTCTCAGTAGATACTGTGTCGATTTTGAAGCTGTCCATGTTGATGGCGGCTAATGTAGTTCAGAGTTGGCTTCCCATTGCCAACCATCCTTTCTGCTGTAGAAACCAGATATAGCAGAATCCTTATTGAGAAATAACATGCGTATCTCTATTACAAGCGCAGTCTCTTGTAGAAGCCCAGTCTCTATTATAAGCGCATTCCAAGAGGGCTTCGAAGATAAACAAGCGCAGTCTCCAGTTTAAGCGCAGGGCTTTTAATGGAGGAATGTACGGATCGTGTCCATGCAGGTTTGACATCACAAAGTGTCACATACCCAAATGCTGCGCACTGAGTACAAACACCAAGGCTGCCATATTCGAGAACGGGTCGGATGTAGGTCGTGTATATTAATAATAGGCTGGAAGCGTTCATTGTGTCGCGCGTCTTGTGGAGTTGGTGTAGTAGTTTTTTGGCTTTGTTGGTAATTTATATGATGTGTTGGGTCCATCGCATATCGTCTTGGAGTGTAATGCCAAAGTGCCTATGTTATTGGACCTGCTACAGCAGAGTCGATTGGAGCGTGATGTGGATGATATGGTGTGGTTGAAAGGAAAGGACGAAGATTTTCGTGATGTTGACGAGGAGATGTCAATCCTTCAACCATCGTCTGGCTGCGTCCACGGCACGTTGGAGGAATGCAGCTGATAAATCCCTCGTGTAATGTGTCGCGATGAGTGCCGTGTCATCGGCAAACTGGGTGCATTTGGAGTGCGAGTTTGTACATGCTGGGGGGAGGTCGATCGTGTACACCAGGAAAAGAAGGTGCCCCAGGACAGAGCCCTGGGGTACTCCAGCTGGAATGGATTTCCATTATGAAAAGGCGGAGCCAACCTTGACGCGTTGTCGGCGGCGAGTCAGGTAGCTTGGAGGCCAGCATGCCAAACTCCGTCAAAGGCCTTTGATAAGTCAAAGACGCATGCTGACACAATGTGACGGGCATCTCGGCTGGCGGAAATCTCATGGACTAGGCGGGAGAGCTGTATTTCAGTGCTATCCTTAGATCGAAAACCAGATAAGTCGGCCGGTAGGTGGGGCTCAATGTGGGCGTTGATGAACAATCCTCTCCTGAACCTTGCTGACAACGCTCAGGAGGGAGATTGGCCTGAAATTGGTTATCTCTGCACGAGAGGTTTTCTTGTGTAGAGGACTGATAGTGGCGTCGCCCCAGTCCTGTGGCTGCTCGCCTCGCGAGAAGGACTCATTGCAAAGCGTTGCGAGGGAGCACAATAATTATTTCCTCTGCAGTGATCTCAATCAATTTCGTCGGGATGCCATCGTACCCAGCCGACTTCCGGAAATCAAGTGCGTAAAGGAGTTTTCTGACCTCCTCCAGGGTGGTGATGATTTCCTTCAGTTCGCTTCCGATGATGCGCGACACGCCTATCTCTGGTACGGCTTAAGTTTTGTTGGTCCGGTGACGCACTTCTGGCTTTCAGAAATGAAAAAAAGATTATAAAACGCTTCCGCCTTTTCTCCATCTGATCTAGCCAATGTTTCGTTTGCTAAAATACATGTACTGTGTACTGCAGATCCGATGTGACCACGTACCAGCGCGCTGTAGCGCATAAATGCATGTGTGTACCGCGTATCCATGGCTGCATGGCCAGCGCCCTGGGACCGCTAGACGTGCGACTGGATTTCCATGTCCACGACAGTAGGTGGAGGTCCTTGAACGGGGACGACCGCAGTGACGTCAATAACTTGTACAGGTTTCGCTCCTGCACACCAGTTACGTCGCCTTGCGCGGGAGCGGATACAAAGGCGGATTTGGCTTCTCTCAGCTGTGTAGTGGTCCTATTGCGTTGAGTAACGAACGCGATCCAGTTCTCAGCGCTTTGAAAGTTTGAGTTCTGAGATACTGATCATGACGGTAGAGCTGATACTTGAGTTGAATGCTGCAAAGAAGCTGTGAGTCATCCATGGTCGCCGACCTGGGCGAGACTGGTGTTTACGTCGTGGTGCGAATTTAGTACAGTACAAGTATGCTCTCTCTCTCTCTCTCTCTGTTTTTGGTGGACAAAAATATCTCTGGCGTTGATTGCTTTCTTGCTTCGACTTCTGCCGCGCCTTTGTTCTCGTACTCCCCTTTATGTACAAGTGTTGTGCAGACCCTTCCTTAATATAGTCTGTCTCATTTTGTCCTGAGATGTTTTGATGCATAGTGATTATGACGCTCATCATTCGCTCCCTTGTCACTGGACAGTTCCGTCCGTTTGGTTTTAGCGAATTCAAATAAAGAAAACAAACAAACAAACAATGCTGTGTTGGTAAGCGAGTGACGCGTTTGCTGTGCAGTGAAGCCGTGACCCTAGGTCGGTGGAGCACATCAGACCCCGTCACCACGTCCACGATTCATGCCTGCGATGCTGCAACGCTGCTTTGCATGTCATGATTGGAAGCTGTGGCCTTAGTAAAAAAAAAAAAAAAAAAATGCCAATGCGACCAGAGTTCTGACATTGATAACTGCGGAATTTCCTCAGCTGGTGGCAAAAGCTGCATTGAGCCCAGGGCTCCTTTCAGTGCGACGACGCGATCAGGGTCCCAGTTCCAGCGCCAAGTTTCGACGTGTTGCTGGGGTGTTGGTGCTTGTGGTGTGCATGCAATGGACACATGTCCTCCGACGAGTACATGATCTGACGCTCCGACAGGATTATATGATGTGACAGATAGGTCTTCTTCTGGTACGTCACAGTGGAGATGACTACGTCGAGGCAGGATACAGGTCGGAAAAGACACGTGCTGGTTTGGTTGGTTGGTTTTCATTTCACTTCGCTCATTCAAACGGGATGACGGCGAAGGCTTAGCCTAGTAAAGGCTGTGGAAGCACATAGTAAGAGAATAGGATACTAATAACTGCGAGTAAACGGGGGGGGGGGGGAGAGAGAGAGAATACGATGTATGTGTGATGCTACGTGAGGATTACTGAACTGCAAGGGGAGGGAGAGCAGAGTTATCAGCAGCAACTCGAACTACTACTCCCTACAGGCGTATGGTACATATGCATGCTTAAACTCAGGTAGCCGGGTAATTGTGCGGACCTCACCAGGGAGACCGTTCCACACCAGAGCACCAACAACAGAAAATCTCCGCTAACCGCGGCGGCTACGGTTTTCCTGGCTTAGTAGGCCGGTTTAATCCTGCAGTATCCAGTAGGTCGCCAGCTCTATCAGTGGGAAGCCATGAGGTGTGTTTTGCGTTCATGCCTCCTACCAATAGAAACGGAGAGTTCATATAGCACATGTAACAGGTTTAATCAAACTTGAAAAGTAAGAGGCCTGGTTGAGCGTGCCTCGACCAGTTATATGCAAAATGTGATAGTATACATGTGGCAATGGCGCCAATGAAGGTGCTAATAGACAGGCGTAAGACGCATGAGGTGCGAGGGAGTGTAAAGTTATAGAGAACAGGGGAAAACTGTTACATCATCCCCCTCCTATGGAGAGGAAGGAGCTTATAACCCAAATGCTCAAGTGGAATAGAGTACAATAAGCGCAAACATGTGCGAGACGAAAAAAAGGCTTCGCACTGAAGTAACACAATAAGACGACTGAAACTCCATGCAAATAAAGTGTAATAAGCTCAACAAATGTGTAAGGTGAAACTAGAAGTTCAACTGCAAAACTCAGCGGGCAGAAGCCAAGGTTTTGTACTTCTGAAGTGGAACAATGTCATTACCAGATTCATCCAACAAATAATGTTCAGGCTCCCAAGTGGCATCAGAGTAGCCTTGCCACTTGACTAGGTACTGAAGCTGATTCTGCCGGCGGCGGTGACTGAGAATGTTCTCCACCACATAGCGGGCATGACCATCAAGGTCCGTGATAGGCGGAGGCGTAGGCTGTCTCCTATTAGGAATAGCGTTCTTCTCGTAGGCACGGAGTGCCGACACATTAAATACCGGGTGACAGCGGCTGGTATGAGGCAACTTGAGCTTGTAGGCATTCGGGCCGACCACGTGGGTTATAGGAAAGGGGCCAAACCACTTGGGGCGTAATTTATGGGATGGTCGGTCCCGAGCTTCAGGAGTCAGGAGGAAATCCCGGTAGACCATTACCAAATCTCCCACCTTCAGCTTTCCCTCGACCCTTGTCCGATCTGCATAGAAGGCCTGACGAGCTTGAGCTGCCACTAGCGCATCTTGTGAGATCTTGACCGCGTCTTGTCTTGCTTGCAACCAATCAGCTGAATCTCTGCCTCCCTGAATAGGGTTGAGGAAGTCGGGTGGCGCTCTGGGATTTAGACCGTAATTTAAGAAGAACGGTGTGTTTCCTGTAGATGATTGAGTAGCGCTGTTGATAGAAAACTCACAGAGAGGTAGGAGCATATCCCAGTTATCTTGTTTATGATTTACAAAAGCCCTCAGCACATCCTCTACTATTCTGTTTACTCGTTCAGTTAGGCCATCTGTCTGAGGGTGATTGGCAGTACTAAATGCTAGTTTCGTTCCTAAGCGATCAAACAATTCCTGAAAAAATGCTGCCGTAAATCTTGCGATCACATACAATACTAGAACTCAAACCATGAAGTCGAAATACATGTTGAATATACAGATCAGCAATTCCTTTAGCGCCAATACTAGAGGAAGTAGGTGCTAAATGTACACACTTTGTCAAGCGGTCTACAAATACATATATAGCATCATGACCTGTATCGGTCCTAGGCAAACCCATGATAAAATCCATCGAGATATCCGCCCACGGCTGACTGGGCACTGGTAAATTCTGCAAGAGACCAGTTTTTAGCTGGCCGCCTTTAACTCGTTGGCAGACGTCACATGACTTGACAAACGCCTTTACATCCAGTCCCATTCTGGGCCAATAGAAATATCTAGAGAGTCTGAAATAGGTGCGATCTCGACCGGGATGCCCCGCAGTCACACAGTCATGGTATTCTTGAAGCAGGGCGAGTCGGAGTTTGCTACTCTTTGGAATGCATAACCTGTTCTGTGGTGAAGATCTGAGATAAAGATAACCGGGTGTTTCATTTAGAAGGTAACGGTCGTGCAGATTGTCATGGCTTGAATTTTTCAGTCTCCTGATAATGGGAGCAAGATCCTTGTCGCACTTGTAACCGCTGACAATTAACTGCGCTAAGTCTGGATTAATCTCTAGGGTATGCTCTATGGCATTCAACTGAATGTTAGGAGGATAGGATGACCCGCCTATTTCAGAATCACTGAACAGATCTGGACGGCGTGAAAGCGGGTCGGCAATGTTTTTCTTTCCTGGTTTGTGAAAGACCGTAAAGTCATAGTCAGCTAAAAACTCTACCCATCTTGCCTCACGCTTGGTGAGAGTCGGTTTGGTTCGTAAATAGACAACACCCATATTATCAGTCATCAGGTCAAAGTGGCGGAATAGATAGATTCTCCAGCACTTTAATGCAAATACCACAGCCAACGTTTCCCTCTCGGCCGCAGTATAGTTGCGTTCTGCAGCTGACAGTTTCCGACTACAATAGGCTACGGGATGCAAATCCATATCTTCTCCCTGCTGCAGGAGCACACCCGCCACGGCAAAGTCACTTGCGTCAGTTTCTACCATGAAGCTTTTCTCAACATCGGCCAGTTGCAACACTGGCGCCTCGAGTAATGCTGATTTTAGAGACTCAAATGCCTTCTGTCTAGCAGCGCTCCATTCAAAGCGTGAATTTTTTCCGGTGATTTCTTCTAATGGACGAGAGATGGTCGAGTGTGGATCTATGAACCTTCGGAAATAGTTTGCAAAGCCAAGAAACTTCCTCACATCAGTTACTGACGACGGAGTTGGCCATGTTTCCACAGCACTTATCTTCTTGGGATCAGGGGAAATTGATGTGCCGTTGATTTTATGCCCCAAGAAGAGAACTTCTCTCACGCCGAATTCGCATTTAGACTGTTTGCAATACAGCTCACTATTTCTAAGTGTTTCTAGAACTGTTTGAAGATGATGCTGATGATCTTCCCAGGTCTTGCTGAAAACTAGAATGTCATCCAAGAATACTACAACGAATTTTCGGAGATGCGGTTGCAGAATAGAGTTCATGAGTGACTGAAAGGTGGCCGGGGCATTAGTCAGCCCGAATCCCATGACTCTAAATTGGAAGTGGCCGAACGGCGTATTAATGGCCGTCTTAGAAACATCCGAGTCTTGAATTCTGATTTGATTGTAGCCTGACCGCAAGTCCAACTTGGAGAAATATGCACTGCCCTGGATCGTGTCGAATAAGTCATCAATATTAGGAAGACAAGCTTTGTTTTTGATCGTAATTCTATTCAATTCTCGCCAATCGCACACCATTCTCAGAGTACCATCCGACTTTTTCACAAAAAACACAGGTGCACCGTATGGCGACTTACTTGGCTCAATGAATCCCTTCTCAAGTAATTCTGATAGCTGTGACTGGAGCTCGTCCATCTCTGGTTTCGGCAGGCGGTAGGCGGGTCGAGACGGTGGTCTGGCTCCATCTTCTATCTGGATTTCATGGTCGACTGGTCTCTTCGGTGGAAGCTCATTCGGCAGCTCGTCTGGAAATAAATCCTGGTACCTCTTGAGCAGGTTCTGGATGTCTTGTTGCTCTGATTCCTGGAGTTGTGGCCCGGAACGATTCTCCTCGTTTGCAGCAGTGACCCATGCAAGAAACCCCTCGGCTCCACTCCTCAGGGCATGACGAGCTTGTCGGCCACTGATAAACATGCTTTCCACAGATGGCCGGTCGGCTGTCGGCGGGTTAGCTGAAGGCAATTTGGCAACAAAGGGCTCACCGTCCAACTGAACTTCGTTCGTACGGAAGTTGATGCTGGGGTTGTTCCTTGTAAGCCACGGCTTGCCAAGAATAGCGTCGTAGCGAGTCAGGGGATACACAGTAAAGTGCTGTTCCTCACTGAAGCCCCCGACTGTCACCCTTAGCGTGCGTGTGGAAATCTGCGGGACCTCGCTGGTCGAGCCGTCCGCCAATGTTACGCTCAGCACTGCTGAGCTTGCATCCGTGTCAAGATGATGCTTTCGAACAAAACTGTCTGCAATGAAGTCATGCGTCGAACCGGAATCTATCAGCATCACTGCACGGCGACCGCCGATCTTTCCCTGTATGCGCAGTAGGTCGTGTTCAGGTTCATTGCCGACGCTGACGTTGCTGACATGACACCTTTCTGCAACGGGACAATTATTTCCTACAGCTATGGGTGTCTCCGGCTCCGTAGGTTCCTGGAGAGCAACGTCTTCAACCTCCAGAGCTCCGAACCGGTTAGCGACTGGTACCGGCGTGGGCGCTTGGGTCGTCGCCAGTAAGCGCACCCCCTTTCTTACTGGCGACCAGCGTTTGGGTAGCGCTGTCCACCCTCAGTACAGTCTTTAGCGAGGTGGCCTGGCTTCCTGCAAGCAAAGCAGTGTCCCATTGCTCGCAGTTGGACACGCTCTTGGTCCGTCAGCTTGCGGAGGCCCTGACCACGGAAGCTGGGCACGGAACGCGACTCTCTACTGGCTGGTGGCCCCGACGCCGGTGGCCCTGACGACTGCTCCACGGTGTTTGCTGCCATGACAGCTTGCTCCAGGGTACGTGGATGCTCACGCATGACCTGTCGCTGGATGTGCGGCACTAGACCCCTGACGAACAGCAGCGCTCTGGTGTGGTGGTCGATTTCCGGCACTTGCAGGCTGAGGCGAGTGAAAGCAGCAATGTATGCGTCCAGCGACCCGCGCTGCGCTGCGGAAATTAGTCGCATACGCGATGTTTCCTCGTTGTGCCGTGGTCCGTACACATCGCCAAGTGCCGCTTTCAGAGCAGGCCAGTCGGAAAACACTTGGTTAGCTTCCAATGCCGCTATCAACCAAAGACGAGCGTTTCCAGTCAAAAATCCTGCCGCGTAGTCGACCCTCTGTGCCGCATTTGGGAGTGCCAACGACCGTAGGGCCATGTCCATTGCAAACGTCCATTCTTTGAATGTAGCGGAATCTCCTCCAAACACATGCGGCTCTTTCGTAAGGCGGGGTGTTGGCTCCCACGGTTCCGAGTTCGGATGTATCGTTCGGTTTCCTTGGCTAACGCGCTGAGCGGTCTTGATATCGTTTATCAGCCGAACGACGAGTACAAGGAGCGTAAGCAGAGCGACCAGAACACCTGCCAAAAGCAGAGTAGTAACCATCCTCTGCTACCAGTGTAACAGGTTTAATCAAACTTGAAAAGTAAGTGGCCTGGTTGAGCGTGCCTCGACCAGTTATATGCAAAATGTGATAGTATACATGTGGCAATGGCGCCAATGAAGGTGCTAATAGACAGGCGTAAGACGCATGAGGTGCGAGGGAGTGTAAAGTTATAGAGAACAGGGGAAAACTGTTACAGCACAGACCTAGACAGGGCTCCAGTTTTTGGCAGAATGTGTACGGATCTGTGTTTGGAGGAACGTAGGAGCATCCAACTGTAAGTAATACATTCGGTAGGTCAAGTTCAAGCCAAAGCTTTTTGAAGTTGTTCATCGTGATGATTGTTTTGTGTTTGTGTGGGATGGATGAGTGAACATACACGGCGACTCCTCCGCCTCTACAGTGCTGCCGATCGTGCCTATGAAGGGAGTAGTCGGGGAGTTCGTATAGGGAGTCTGGCTTAAGGGGATTTGCCCACTTCACCCCTCATCAGTTGAGCTTGAGTAGGCTGAGGAAGATTGTGCCTGAAGAGCACCAATTATATTGCCCTCCAAGCACAAACATCAGCAGGGATACATACTTACAGAGACGCTCCGGTTCCAGCGTGACAAAACCTCGTGAACACCAGAGTGCAGCGCGAGTCAGTGTCGCACCAACGGACCTAAGCGTTTGTTCAGCACCTCTTCAGCATGAGTGGAGCCTTGCAGCTGTCAGTTGAGGCCTCGTCAGGGTACTTTCAGTAGATATTGCTGGGCCTTCGACAAGGTCTCGCAAAACGGCGTCCTCCACAAGGCTGAGCGGTGCGGCATAAGTGGCCCCCTCCTTGCCTGGCTCCGGAGTTACCTGACAGACCGCCACATCCGTGTCGTCATAGGTGGGCAGTCTTCACCGACCCACCGAATCCAATCTGGCGTGCCGCAGGGCAGCATCCTCGGCCCCACCCTCTTCCTTCTGTACGTCAACGACGCAGAAGACCACCTGCCTGATGGCGCGAAGCTGGCTGTATACGCCGACGACACAACTCTTTACAAGTGCATCACCACCCGACTCAGACTGCCAGAAGAGACAGCAATCCTCCAGCAGGCAGTAGACTCACTGGCAGCATGGGAAAGCAGGTGGAGTATCAAGTTCGAGCCCACAAAGTCGCAGGCATTGACCATCAGCCACCACCGCTCGCCATCCCCCCCCCCCCCGAACGCAATACGCTTCCAAGGAGCAGTCGTGCCAGAAGTAGAGGAGCTCAAGCTTCTTGGCGTCACCTTCGACATGCAGCTGGCATTCCGCAGCCATATCCGACAGCTTGCAGTACGCGGAGCCCAGCGGCTCGGCTTCCTCCGTAAGGCATCGGCTGTGCTAGACCCAAAGCACTGGGCAATCGAGTACCGTGGCTTTGTCCGCCCTGTGTTAGAGTATGGCATGCTGGTGTGGATGAGCGCAGCCCCCACCACCTTGGCCCGCCTCACTGTCATCCAGCGCCGTGCCCTGCACATAATTGGAGATGGATCATACCTCCCGAGCCTCGACATTCGCCGTACCGTAGCAGGGCTCTGCTTTCTGTACAAGCTGCACTTTGTGGAGGGTCCGGAAATGGTGAAAGCCATTCTGCCACCATCAGCAGCCGCACCGCAATTCCGCATGTCTACTCGTGAGACAACCAGATCTGCAACACATCATCCATCGCAACTCACCAGTATTCTTCCTCCCCAGTCACGAAACAACACGCTCGGCTCATTTCCCCACTCCCTCATCGCAACGTGGAATCAGCTCCCACCTACCCTTCTGCAGTCTCCCCCTTCTCGCAGAGGTATGCACAAATTCAAGAAAAACGTCAACGACCACTTTAAGGCAGCAAGTGGGAGTGGGCCACAGACAGGCTATGTTCTCTGCCAACACACCAGCCTAATTATACTGACCGCACTCCAGCTCCCTTCTACCGCTCTTTGATCCCCTTCGCTCAGCCTTAAAATCCGATTATCAGTTCTCTCCTTCTTCCTACGGTGCACTGCTTTTACTATTGTTTTGTCCTATCTCAATCTCAAATTCTCCCCATTATCGTTTGCAAAGCCGGTGCTTCCCTCTTGGATGCACATGTTTCTTTTCTCCTATGTATCAGCGCAAAGGAGTAATGATGATTCCGAGACCTTTGGTCGGAGGAGTTACTTTTGCCCCGCCCCCACTTCCATCCAATATGCCTCCGCCGCCGCTGTGCAGCATCTGATGGTACTGTGGTGTTCAGTGAAAAAAAAAAAAAAAGTTCCTTACAGCACTCTTTCAACACCCGAGATGGAATACAGTTTGGTCCAGATGCCTTTGGATGGGACTAGCCTTGCACGATGCCGCTGGACTGCAACTTCTCGGAAATGTACGTACTCTAATGGCTCGTAGGTCGGGGTGGTCACCGCAGGATGGTCATTGACAGTCAGTTCTTGTTCGCCCAGGCTGCATTTCGAGGAGTAATGCTTTGCCAGGCACTCAGCCTTCACTGCTGCGGCGTGATACTCCTTGCCATGGCTGTCGACTAGCAGATGAACACTAGCGGAGTTGCGTGTAACGCCAGTGACCTTTTTCATGTTGGTCCACCATTGTTTTTCACTAAGTGACTGGCACCTGAGTGTGTGGCGCAGGCGATTGACGCTAGACATATGAGCGATCTGCTATGTGTAGACAGTTCGGTTGACAGGAGCAATGCAAGAGGCCTTGAGGTCATCCTGGTGCGGGTTCCGCCTTCACTTCTTCCACTGCTTCTCCTTTGCCTCTTCAGTAATGATGCCCTCTGGAGTCCACCAGTGAGGGTCAGAGAAACGAGTGGTGGAGACTTTGGTGGGGATATACTGGTCCATGCCTTGCAGAATGGCCGAAGTCAATGCCAAGATCAGTCCCCTTTCCACTCGACATAAGTACCACCTCTGTGTTCTCATACATAAAATATTACTAAATAAAATAGCCTTGCAAATGCAGGCTTATAATTGGTTCACCGAAACACGGAATACCCGGAACTCATTCATTCTTCCACGCGCTGGCTCCAGCGTATTCACTAGATCCCCGAACTTTCCTGGCTATGTATTTTGGGCAACATTACCAACGCAAGCCAAGACTAGCACGTCTATGGATACTTTTGTTGCTAAACTCGCTGCTCAATTATAGGTTTCATGTATTTGCATAAAATCCTGCTGGTTTGTCTCCTCCTTTGCCTTCTTTGCCTTTTATTTAACTCGGATGGTGAGCCAATTAAATTATTGTGCAAAGAAGAAGGACAAAAATGTTACGAGTTATGACTAACTGTCCACCAACGTAACCATATCTTATACAGTCAGCGAGTGCGACAAAATGGCACAAACTGACAATGAGTACTGAGACATTCGGCGACCTGACACCTAGCTCCAACACGTCTCCAAGGCGCAAACCAACAACCTTCCAAATTGGAAGGCTCAGGTTTGGAAAGGTCCGAGAGGGGAAGGAAAGAGCAACGAAGAAGAGCACGAGCTACGCATCACGGCAACAAAGAATGCCGAAAGTTACTGGATGATGACGAAACTAGTAAGACATACCGACCTTACTACAACTCGACGACGCAAAACAACAGACCACCCAACTTGGTTGGCTCAAGTTTATGTAATGAACGTAGAAAGGGGAAGCTAAGCGAAGACGAATTTTGACGAACCGAACCGTCAACACCCTACAAAACTCCACTATCATGTATGATGGACTAGTTATGTACAATAACAAGTAGTTCCACACGACGTACGTTTCGCCGTATAGGTCATGACGGCTCATCAGGTGCGTACACCAGTCACCTGGTCACCGTGCCTGCAGGGTACAACTTACTAGCCTGTTTGACCTTTTTTGGGTGCAATAATGTCACTCGAGTTGAACCTTGGTGTGAAAGTTGTCGCCTGCTGGCGTGGTGACCAGGTGATTTGGGCAACCAGGAGCACGTGACCGCTTGTTCAACCATGTTCGATTGGGAATAAAGGAGGAACGCTGCATCGCAGCCTTTTCGGACCAAAACCAGTCGACTCAGCGTCCAAAAGACTACAACATATGGGCCAATCGTGGTCATCCGTGCTTTTATAAGAACGAAATGGCGCTTTTAGTGACATTTTGCATACAAATCCCCATCTAGTAGGGCGCAGTCACCCAGTTTCGGTGGAAGTGCGCGAGTTCGATTGGGATTCAAGTAGGAAGGGAGCGTCTCAGCTTTCTCGGACCAAGACCATTCGACTCAGCACCCCGAAGACTACAACTGGTGAAATTTTAATTTTTGCCTTAACTTCCCCTTTAACTCGGATGGTGAGCCAATTGAATTATTGTGAAAAGAAGAACAGGTCGCCGAATGTCTCAGTACTCCTTGTCAGTTTTGTGCCATTTTGTCGCACTCGCTGACTGTATAAGATTTATTTATTTATTCAACATCTCCTGGCCCGTCCGAAGACTGCCAATAAACATG